TATATAACTAAACGAACTTTATGGTTGTACGGCAGTGAAGCATCAGTGCCAACACTGATGTTGCTGTCATTGATGATGATGATGATGATGACTACGTAGCACTCACATGAGTGAAAATCAAAACTTCGAAGAGCACTTTTCACACCTGCCTGTCTTCAACAAGAGGTGAATTAGCTAACAGATTGTCGGATTCAAATACCTTGGCTCCACCAGTTTATTAACCGAGCAGGCTATGGAAGAAGTTCAACAGCATATCGAAACGCTTGGCACGCCTTCGTGTCGCTGAACAACGTCTTGTGGAGAATTCCGCGATTAGATTGCGCACGGAAATCCTCAAAGCAGTCATCCGCCCGGCTCTCATTTATGTCCACGAAACATGGCTCCTACGCGCAGAGGATATCCGGAAGCTGGGTATTTTTTTACCGCTGAATTCTCTGACGAACAGTGAGAGCTCCCGCCGGGGATGAGATACAGAAAGGCCTATTTCAGCCCCTCCAACAACGTGGCTGCAATGGTCTGGGCATCGGTTGCGTGGGGACGATGCTGAAGTTAAACAAACTCTAACTCCTGCACCATGCGGAGGATGATGTTGTCGTCACACAGTACGACTGAAAGCCTGGTTAGATGCAGTAGCAATAACAGGAGTATTAATAATTGCCCAGGTGCCTAGTGGCCAGGTCAGCCGAAGGAGGCACAAGGACTGAGATACTGTCCGGTTGTCCAAGCCTGGACAGGGGCAGTCGACATGCCTGCGTTGGACTTCGAACTACGGACCGTCCGGGCAGGGAGTTCGTGCCTTATCTCGATCAGAAGTCGAGAAGAGGGAAGCTGACTTATCTCACCACTTTGTCTCGAAAGTAAACGAAAGACCAAAATGGCCCGAATACGCGGGCCAGTTGACGATATTTTCGTGAACAGTGGTTCCCACATTCCTCGTGCCACGGGTAGTTTAGATCACTCTCAGAATGATGGCCAATTTCCTCAAAAGGATCGTAAAAACCTAGTCGCTTGGGCCCTGCTACTCCCCAAAATGGATCAGCTTTTCGGAAATCGAGGAACGCAAACAATGTTTGGCATGGTAACTGATTTCTGATTCGTTTTGATGAGCCAAAATGTTCGAACTGAGTTCGGCCATACTGATTGCTTACACACATTCTTTATGCTGACAATGAACTTAGCAACTGACCACTCCTGAAAATCGGTGGTCACATGGCTTGCGTGTACCACAGTAGGTCACGAGACGTATCATGCAGACTCACCACGTTTATGTGTTTTTCAGCATACACTGAAGACATTGCAAATCAGTTTTTTCAATCGTCCGATGAATGCTGTCGTGGCTAGTAATCCAGTTGAATGTCCCAGGTTCTCATCATCAGGTTTGTCAAGGGTGAACTGATGATTGTTAATCAAAGTGGAAAAGACGCCGCGGGACACTGGTGAAATAATGTTGGGCTGTTGACGCCTATCAGTACCGACAAGAAAGTGAATTCGCAGGACTTTCTACATGTTGCTTCCTGAATTAACGTTCGTCGGTTACATGTGTCTCAGTTTGTATGTTCATGAACCCCTACAAACTCCTCGAGAGTCTACTAGTTGAATATCTTCTGCAGGGGTTGAGTGTGGGCAAATCCTGCTAGATCATGATCCAACACAAACGAATAATCTCACCTTCAAGGGGGAGTATCAGTTAAGCTCTGTCAAGATAAACACAAAAAGATTAGTCGGATAATCCAAGCGTGGAGAAATGACAGGGTTTCCTAGATTCACGCTAGTTTCAGCCGGCTGGGAACCCATATTACACACCTTACGGATCGATCTCCCAATGTAAATAACCTCAGCCTCCAGTTACGCGGTTGATTCCTATTAGGAAAATCATTGTATTCATCGCGTAAAGCTTTTCGCGATTCGTCATGATACGAGGGGTGCATGGATTATGTCGGTTGATAGTTGCCAGCACAAACAAAGTTCCGGGACAAGTAAAACAAAGCAATGAGCATTGGTGAAATACACCCATTTGCCAACTAAGTTGGCTTTAACTGGAGACTCAACTGAATGTCAGCCGAATCAGTCGTTTATGATATCCTTCGACTTAATATGCTGTAAGAAGGTCATCTCATGTTTCAGTTGGGACGGCATTCGAGATATCGCAATATATGTTTTTGAAGTAACACAACGCAATTTGGGTTCAAATAGAACACATGTAGGTTACAAAAGCCGAACAGATATATCCGAGGTCCGTGATGAGAACGACTGCAACATCCACAAAATTTTAACTCCTGGGGTAATGGGACTAGGTGAACGATAAAACTTGTGAAAGTGCAGAGCGAAACGAATTAGCAAGCAACTCACAGCTCGGTTGGGTAGATCACACTTATTTCCGATAACAACAAACGGGAAATTCTCAGGATCGCGAGGACTGGCCTGAATGAGAAATTCATCTCGCCAGGAGTCAAGCGTCTTGAATGTATTCGGCATGGTGACATCATAGACTAGAACGCAACAATCAGCACCCCGGTAGAACGCCACACCCAAAGACTGAAATCGCTCTTGGCCAGCGGTGTCCCACAGCTGCAGAGTGGCCACTCGGTCGTCCACAACCGTTTCCTTGGTAAGGAAGTCAGCACCGATGGTGGCCTTGTATTGGTTGCTGAATTTGCGGGTCACATACTGATTCATCAGTGATGTTTTCCCCACACTGGAATCAAAGCTAATAAACACAGGAGTTCTTGTAGTAGTCTTACCCGCTGTCACCTACAATGATAACCTTTAGAAGGATTTTCTTCCGTCCCGCCATCAGGCGCTCGGCTGGAACAAGGAAAATATGAAACTCAGTAAGATAGCAAAGGCACAAAAGCAACATGAGGAATCAATGGCCCATGAGTACATACACTGTGCTTTGGGGATACATATCCCAAGCAAAATGGCTCCGCACGAATGCACCCCTCTTAGGTTCACGTGGTCTATGTGAAGCAAGATCGAGTAGTTTGGATGTTGAAGCCCCGCGATGATGATTCGAAGATCATTCGCCTAACTTTACTGAAAATTAGTAGGAATATATGATTCCAGGGGTGCAGTTTCCATAGCCACCCGTATCCCTCGCATAAGCTTCGTCATGGCCTTTGTTAGAAAAGGCTTAGGGCAAACTGTTGGAACTGTAACGCAGTTGAAACTCGACTGTATCTGTATGCACGTCTACACATGAGCTTTATGTGTCTCTCCCCTCCCTCTCTCCCTGTTGCAGGTACCATGGTCGAACCACCACGAGCCCCGGACGGGAAAGAATAGCCGCTTGTACAACCCCCCCGGACTGACCTTGACCGGCCCCCTTTTGATTGTACTTTTGACTCCTTCCGGTTTCGGTTCCGGTTAATACACGTGCGTTGTTGCTACACTCCGGTCTTCTTCCTTGTTCCACCCGACCTGTGCGCATGTGTGCTGTGTATACTGTGTGGATTCATTAATACCAGTCCGTATATCTGCACATTTCAGAACTGACGTGTGCCGTCCTCTCGAACGTCGAATACCGCTGACTTCCTGACATCCCACGCTACAGAACCAAGCAAATTGTGATGCTACAAGGGGATTTTGGACTGTATTTGTGCTTTCACTAAATAGGCAATTCCCATTCCACATCATGTGTCGGTTTCAGGATTGATGTTACAAGCTAGCCGAATTCTAGGGTTATTTAGCTCATATTTTCAAACGACGTTTCCGACAGGAGATTGGTGCTGGAACGCTCCATAGTTATTTTAGGAAGATTAAGTGAGGACGTTGCTCTTCGCTTCATTGCTCCTCTCTAAGCCTTTTGAAATGGTACGAAGTGCCAGCTACTGCAGCCATGAAGATCTTGGAAACACTAAAGCTAAGGCAGAAATAATTAGCGCAAACGGTCGGATGAAACATAAGTGAAACAAGCATAATGGCATGAAGAAATTACAAAGAGTCCGTGTGGATCGCTTTCCAAGATTGGGGCCTCGTGATTCTCTTCGATTGGCTGGGAACATCAGTTGATCCATCAGGAGACCCTTGGGAATTTACTATTCCGGCTGTGTTTGAAGTTGTGGATTGTGAAGTAGTAAAACATCGGTGACAAGATTGGTGTTACCGTCCACGATTAACAGGTGGTGTGCTGAAGAACCTCACATTGGAGCACAGAAGAGTTGCCAAGGTTGTGTGATTGTTAAGTTTGGGGCCGTTTAAAGAATAAATGATGGCCAGGTGTCCTTGTCTTTAATCGATAACAGGCACGTTCTGGTAGAGATAACTGGTTAGTGAGCTAGTAGAAAAATTGCAGGCAGCAGTAAAAATCAATGACGGAACCCTTTGCGGGATAATCTGTTTCATGGAGATCGGAGATACTTTGAAGGTACGATAGTATGAGGCAACAACACTTTGGTGATAGCAGAGTTCTGGAGAATCTTCTTCGGATCTAATCTGGTAGCTCGTTCCAAAAGCCTTGAGCAGATGAAAGCGTAAATCATGCACTTTCCTAAAAGGGGCATTCAGGCAGTTCAGTTTACTATGTTGGCTACAAACCGAGACACCTTGTTTCGAACTCCCACAGTTTCGTTCTAGCATGATAATAGACGACCATGTATCGGAGACGACGGCTTGACCAGTGCAGTACCGTCGTGTCGTTCCGACACAGGCCAATGTCACCAGCTTGTCTTTGCACAACCATTGTTCCGATCCCAAGCTTCCCTCAAGATGGACAATAGGGGCTAACACATGTCTGTCGGCCAGGATTCGTATGCTAGGCAGAAAGATGGTCTACGGCCATCTGATATGCCACGCACGTGTCTCATCCATCCGTGTCCCAGACTATGGAAGGCCGTCAAGTCGTTTATCCGTCACAGAGTCCATTCCGCTGTGAAGAGGATGATCGATTGACCAGCTTTGCCGCCTTCAACCGGACCTTTAACATACTTTTTCAGAATTCTAGGCGTCTACTTATATTCCAATGACAGTCACACTGCTTCCTATGCTGGTGACAGTCCAATAGGCATTATCTGTTGAAAACTTGAGGTCCTACAGTAGAGCAGAAATAGGGAATAGATGTTCGGACCATACTCTTGTACGTGCAATCTTCAAAGGCCACCTCATCGTCCGACACAAAATACGGGTTACTGTTAGGCTCGACGTGAGGTGACAGAGACCCGGGAAAGTGCCTTCAACTCCCGGGTATGATGAAGTTATCACTTCCTCGAGCTAAATCCGTCACCATCAAAGTGACTTGTTTCCGTCTAAAGACATCTGTGCAACAAGTCTCAGCGTACACATTTGGAGTTGAATAAAAACGCCACTAAAACTGTGTCTTTAAAAGGACCGTCCATCCCTGAGCAAGCCACCCAGGGGTTTACGATCGACGCTCCTAGCTTACGTTATCAGGCCACCCGCTTCATATGAAGAGGCAGTTGGATTACTGCTTAGAAATGACTTCTAGCGCATCCGTGATTGTTTGCACATTTTCCGGTTAATCTGTGGCGTCTCGGCCAAAAGTACGGTCATCAAAACCATTCTCGAAGCGCTGACGGCCACCTAACAGCGGACTATGGGGAAAACCAAGGAGAATACATAAGCTTTCTACTAAATCGCCCCACTGGCCACCAAACAACTACCACAGGCAGTACGAACTCTCATCTTTACAAACCTACATCTGTAAGGCCCGGGCTTCCCGAAATGTCGGTCACGGAAGGCCTAAAGTATTTGAGCACAGGTGCTTGAAGCCAATGCATAAAGTACATAGCAAAGACAGGGTATCATACGGTGGTGCCGGGGACCGCTATTACAATATCCTGTGCTTCTTCAGAATGATCCAAGGATGCAGAATGCGGAGTCCAGTTCAGCTTCCCAAGTGTTGCAGTGAATTTCTATACACAAACATCATCGAGGTCCTGGCTCTGGTGTCCTACCACCTGTTCTGTTCAAAGACGCCGTGTCTGACTATCAAATTTGCGTCTATTTGAGGGAGAAAGACAGTTCGGTACCGTTGGGGAGAGTCGATAAGTGTCTGTCTGCAAAGTGGCTACACTCAGTGAACATAGTGATCACAGGGATGTCAGTTTGACTCCCCTTGTAACAGGGCTTTTGACGTCACGGCGGCACGCGAGATCTTGACCCGTGGGTAACAAGCATGAGTGCGGTTGAGTAGATGCTGCATAAACTACATCTTCGCACTTCATCGCGTTAGGCCAATGCCATATATAGAAACGACGCGCAATCTTGGTATTCCCTAACTTCAACAGTATGGTCGATTCTATTGATCGATCGGTGTTCCTTGAGCTAGAGATAGCCCAGACAGAACTTACCATCCAGGTCTGTGGTTCGAACCCGAAATCGGCATCTCGGTTGCTCCTGCCTAGGCTTGGGAAACCTGGCAAGACCTCAGGCCTCGCGTCTCTTTCGCGCGGCGTGACAGCTAGGAGCTGGAAGGGTGTTACAACTGAATTATGAGTATTAGTATTATTGTTATTAGTGTTTCTAACTACATGGGATGTCGCAAAAGTTTGCCAACGCAACCCGGTCCTTAAATTCCCATACGTCCAGGATGTGAGTACATGAAGTGCTCCCCAAAAGCTTTCCTGCGAAAGTGGTGTCCAACGGGGATGACCGCTCTCCCCATTTTCGCTGAAGTTTGACATCAGCGGAATAATAAGGCGAATTCTGCACGGTCTGCATAATATTTGTTGTTGAGAACATTGTGGACCTATGGGAGAACACCGTCATCATCTTAAGAAACGAAAAAACACAAAGACTGTTAAACAAGCCCATTATGCCATCTTTCGCCACCTGCAGAGTGCACAGCCATCCTTCAAAAACTGCAGTCTGAGCATATCCCTTGTAGATTAGGGAGCGATGAAGATTCTGAGGGATTTCACACACGCCAGTAGTTGTGTTAGCACTAACGAGACTGCATCCTATGGAGATAGCATCCAAATCTCAAAAGCTCGAAACACGTGTGCCACTGCGTCAATTGAGGCTTGTATCACTGGGTCTCAAGGGACGTGTGTACTAGGCTGCAGAAAGAGGTTTTCGTACAATGGGAGGACATGACCTCTGCGGCAATCGATCAAGTGGATCACGCGGCAACTGGTGGAGGGTTACAATTCAAGAATGGTGTTCCTTCTAAAACATATAACTTGATTCGATCACGTTCCTGCTGCGTGCATTCGCTCAGGCCTTCGCAAGCCAGCAGGAAGTACGCCAATCCAAAATTTTCGAAGAACTACCACAGCTCAACAGTACAGATATAATACTGATTCGAGGTAGCTCAACAATGCTCCGAAGTAAACCAATACTCTACTGGTAGCAAGCACGTGGATGAAGCATGGGAAAATGTAAAAGGAGCTATGTTAGTAGCGTTCAACGCTGTCTGTCCGACTTCTCCGATTCGACCAGAAGACCACTGGATATCGGCAAGATTACTAATCCTGATTAACGTTAGGAAACCTATACCAGCAGGTAACAAGTACGGTGCCACATGAAAATCCCTCGAACACCAAATAGCGGAGGTCTTAATGAAAGACCGAGAGTTCTGGTGGACATCAAAATCTCGGGAGATGGGGAAGGCTTTTGCTACCGGAAACAGCCATGCCCTATATCGTCTGATACACCGACTGGACCTAGGAAAGTAACGGTCAGTGAAACGATAAATGAAGAAGGCGGTTCGTCAATTCAGTCGCAAAAAAGTCGACTAAAAAGATGGGCTAAGCACTTCGAAAAACATTGCAACTGGCCCCTTGTAACACAACCTCAGGAGACAGTGCCTTCGGACAGATGGAATGTAAACCTTAATCGCCCGTCGG